CCGACCCCACCCCAGCTCCGCCGCGGCGCCGGGCTGCGCTGCGGGGACTTTGCTGAGGGAAGCCCCGCGCTCCGTCGCGCGCCTCGCGGCTCCCCCTGCCCTGGCACGTGCGGCACGCTGCCAGCGGTCCCCGGGGTGGGACGTGGGCAGGACCCGGCTGAGGTGAGGCCGAGCCTGGCAAAGCATTTCATCACCGCAGCCTCCGCCTGCACTCACCAGCCGCGTCCACAATCCCCGCCACTCATTTCACCCGCGCTAGGGCCCTGGTGTGGACAAGTCAGGTGTAGCTTCAGCACGTGTTAGCTGACCCAGTTCACCCTGGGAGTGGCGGGGAGCCTGCGGAGCCTCCCGTCAGCGCGTGTTGAAACTGCAATTAGCTTTGCCTACACTTACACACGCACAGGTATATTAACACGGCACCTTGGTCCTCGCCAGGCCAACGTGGGCCGTTTCTCTCCGCAGACCTAGTTACATGCGCGAGTCAAGAGTATGCAGAGTTGGGAGCTTAGTGAACAAGGCAGACCAGGGCAAATGACATTCAGCATGGCATCAGCAGAATAAGATGAAATACTCTTTGGACTAGAATGAATTATTTTTAACTGACAGGCTGCTGAATATGCTTTGTCTTGTTCCACACCAAATGCGAACCACGAATTTGTATCAGCTTGTCTAAGTCTGTATTATGACTCATCAACACTAATCTTATCTCTAGTTTCATCTTCTCTTACTTCAAAAAGCTGTTCCTCCCTCTTGGTTCAAAAAAATCAAAATCCTTTTCTTGATGCAATTTTTGGTCCAAGTTACCAACCAGTTTCCTTCTAACCTGGTGTCTTTCTAGGACCTAAGGTTTATGCTGCTTGTTCTTAAGTTTTTAGTGCTAGGTTCTGCTGTCTTTGCTCAGGTCATTCTACTCAGATAGCCTTTTAGAAGGGAATTAATGATTGGCTTGTGGTTCAATCCAAAGGTCTTGCTTCTTCTTTTGTTATCCTTGACTTATCAGCTAGTTTTGAACCTTTGGATCATTCTTTATCAACTTGGCATTCACAGTTTTTCTGACTCTGCACTCCAAAATTTATTTTCTGACTTACTGTCTGCAAACAATCTTTCATGGTATCTCTGAGATAGACTTTATACCACTCTTTGAATCCTGCATCCTTTTCTCCATACAATTTCCCTGCCAAGTGACATTTATTTTGTTTGCAGTCTACTGTATCGCTCTGTAGTGGTGATACTCTGTCATATATTTCACAGTCTTGCATCTTGTCCCCACTTCTTTTTGGATGAAAGCCAAGTATCAAATAAGTCTGTCCAGAACAGAAATCCTTACCTTTTAATTGTTATACCTAGGGCTCAGCTTTGGAGTCTTTGCTCTCCGTGAATAGCATTTACTCCCAAAAGTAAACCTGACTTACTCAACTAGGAAATACAAATGAATAATTAGAGGTAGCAAAGTGAGCTCTTTTTGGTTCATGCAATTTTGCCTCAGTATTTGCAACATTATCTACAGTAATCTACCAAATTTCACTCCATTCATATCTCCCTGTTCTTTACTTTTATATCATTAGCTTCTAGGTCAGTTCAAGAGTCTCGCTTTTCCACTTAATGCTACTAGCCAAACCAGTCACTCTTGTATTTCTTTGCTTATCACTTCTTACATTCGTTATATGTTTCTGAAGAGAGAAAACCACCATTAGAACACAGGAATTTTATCCAATATTTCTTAAAGTCAATAACTATTCTTCTGCTGTCATATATATACAATGAATGATGCAAGTATAAATAAAGCCAGTTTTAGTCACATAAGTATGTGGACATTGAACAGACTGCAACAACTCCAGAATCTTTGAATTTTACAAGACTTGGGGTAAAATGACACCTTTTACTTGTGTGTTCCTTGCAGGTGCCAAGCAGACTTTTAGTAGCAAAGGAGGCTTTAAACACTCCAAGAGAAGGACGCTCCTTCTTTCCTGGCTGGAAGGTGTATGCTGAGGATACTAGCATCTACAAAGCAGATCGTTGCCTACAAAAGCTCATGCCTCTCCCACTCAGTTAATCTCTAAAATCCCTGGCAACATTCATTTAATGGTACAATGGGATCTGATCCCCAATCCCAACAACTGTGCCTCCTGCCCTGTCTCACACATATCACAGGAAGTCCAACTATTGGGATCAGGGATCAGATCCAAATCCCAACACTGCTATTTGACAGTGCAGGGGAAGCCTGACTAGCCTCAGGGGGAGCCAGTGCAGAGGAAGCCCAGGAGTGCTGGCCAGTTGGCCAGGCTGACAATCAGCTGAGTGTCCTGGATCCAGCTGACCAGGCACTTGAACCAGCTCCAATGCAGTCTGGGACCTGGGCTGACCATCAGTTCAAGACTGGAGCAGTTCAGGCCAACAATCAGCTGACTGTCAAAACCCCATGCCTCACCGCTCTGGCTGGATTGCTAGGTGCAGAGCATCAGAGGCTCCAAGCATGGGGAAAGGAAGGGATTTTAAACTCTGTTGGAAGCCTCTGAGGCCCTGCATCTGACAACCCAGTGGGGAAGCTGCTTCAGGGCCACCCTTTAAAACTCTCTGTGCACCGAGACCCATGGTGCAGGGCTTGGACAGCTCAGAGCTCCCATCTCCCCAGCTGCCCATGTGCCCCACACTATAAAGTGGTGCCTGCAGCTAAGGAGCCAAGAGCTCCCAGCTCCCCAGCTGCTGCTTCCAGGGGTGCCCTGGGAACTTGAAAAAGAGGGTTTGCGGGGTGGGGCCTGCCAGCCACAAGCCCACTGTTTAAAGTTCCAGGGAGCAGCGAGCTTGAGATGGGGAAGATGCTCCCTAAAGTCAAGCTCATGGTACCTCCCACTACCTGTCTCCAGGGACTGGATGGGGACTCTGGGTCCAGGACCTGATGCTGCCCCCAGCCTGATCCTGCTGATTGGATAGGGGATGGCTGTGTCCCAGACACTGGGGCTGCCCTCTGCTGGGTCTCTATGCTCAGCCAAGCATCAGGAGCTGTCATGGGTCAGTTCTCACATGCCACACATTCAATTTAAGGCATGATGTTATTGGATGTGGTCCATAACATGAGCTCCCTCCTGAGCCTGCGCACACTGATTAGAGTGGGGAAGGTTCTGGGGTAGCTAAACTCTCTACCTTGATGATGTCAGTGACCCACTTACATCTGGGGAGCACGTGCAGGTGCTTGTGTGGTCCAGCCGAGTGCCGTGTGCTGCACCTGAGTGCTGGGAGCACCATCGTAGGGTGTCGTGTGCACATGAGTGTGATTGGTGGGAAGAATGACTGACACGCAGTGTGATTTTGGTGAGTATTTAAGGAAACCCGAAGCGTGATTCTGTGCGCAAATGGAATATGGATGCTTGAGAGTACTTGAGGTTTGAATGATGTGCGGGTTTACTTGGCTGGTGATTATACCAGAGTGTCTGAGGCGTATGAGCAGTGACTGTAGCAGTGAGAGAGAGGGGTGACCTATCGGATTGGATTATAATTGGATACTTACCTGGTAAAAGCATTATTGGATCGGGACCTCGATCATCCATTTGTCTGGTAATTATCACCCTTCCCTCACTCTTGGTCTGAGATCCTCTGAGGGAAAAGACTGAGGGCCTGACTGTCACTCCAGCTCGGTGAGCCTGTGACAGTCCCGATGCTGCCCCTGGCAGGTCTGCTTATGGTGTATGGCAGTTAACCAGTGTATATAGTTCATGCTTGATATTATATATGTTCCCTACTGTTAATCTTGTTTTGTTGTGATCTTGAGTTTAGAATATACTTTTGAACTTTATTGGAGCCTTGGTGTATTTATAGGGTATATGAGGGAGGGCTGTACTCTATGTATATCCCTGACCCCAAAATCCACCCCTAGCAGAGATAACACACAAAAGGCCCCGTCTGTCTGAGGAGGCCTAACAACCCTCTGCCCCTTAGTTTTCTCACAGGTGGTCAGTGTCCAGGACACGTGGCGGTGTCCACCTTTCAATGTAACTGAGCCACAAAGATATTATGTATTATATGTAGAATATCTTTGGGTCTCATTTGCTACATTATCACACCATAAACTGGTCTTAATATGTGGGCAGGTTATTATTTATGGTGCAATTAATACCTTAATCACCTCTTAAATGTAAGGTGTGATCATGCACAAATCTAGCATTTTGAAAAGGGGAGTGCAGATAGTGTGGTGCATCATTGCATGTAACACACATTTTTCATGATGAGGCATAAAGTCAAGTGAGTTCCTTGCTGCTTCCTGAATAGAAATGGTACTGCCACTGCCAGGAAGTTGTTTTTAAAATTAGGGTGGAGCAAGAATCAAAGGGCAGTGCCACTGTACCCCTCCTGGATCCACCCCTGCTTGTGCCATGGTCTTTGAGTGCCACCCTGCCTTCTGCCTGACTTCAGACTAACACAGCGCTCTACTTTTCTGTGGGTGCTATTACACACTAATAATATCTTTATAATGATCTCCAACTGTTACCAGGACTTAAAAAGTTAAGCCTTCTTTCCATCCCACCTCCCACACTCTAGATCAGATCTTCTGAATTGCAATTTGCTTTTCTGGCTTTTTTGCTACAATTGTCTCCTTCAGTCACACACTCCTGGAGTAGTAAGCTACTGCAGAAACAACCATGGAAATCCATTGCCATTAAGAATATACACAAGACTAGCCCACCCCTGCTCTGATAGAAGTCAAGAGGAAAACTCCCTGTAACTCCCATGAAGAATCAGGCTCTCCAAAGTCTGATCACACAATCACCACCAAAACTCCTCATGCAAGTAATAAAACTCTACCTGTGCTTAAGAGTTTTTAGCTCGGGCCCCAAATCATTACTTTTGTTTTTTATTCTGAAACTGTGTTTTGTTTAATTTGTTGCACTTTAACTCAGTGGCTCTCAACTTTGTTAGACTTCAAGCCTCCCTTGGAAAATGCCACCTCTCAGGTTTCGCTTGTTTTTTGACTACAGAAAAAGAATAGAAT